AGTCTATGATACACTGATTAATGCAATTGATGATGGAAATGGCGGCTTTTTTTTTTTGGATGCCCCCGGTGGAACTGGGAAGACATTCCTCATGTCCTTGATTTTGGCCACTGTACGTGCGAGATCCGAAATTGCGGTAGCAATTGCTTCTTCTGGAATAGCGGCCACATTGTTAGACGGATACCGTACGGCTCACTCAGCGTTAAAATTGCCATTAAACCTTCAAACTACTGAACACCCGACATGTAACATTTCGAAAAACTCCGCAATGGCCAATGTTTTAGTAGCATCAAAAATCATCATATGGGACGAATGCACAATGGCGCACAAACGCGCATTGGAAGCACTAGACCGAACATTAAAAGATCTGCGCAATGACTCGAGATGTTTTGGTGGTGCAATGATTTTATTATCTGGCGATTTCCGACAAACACTACCAGCCATTCCAAGATCTACTGCTGCAGACGAAATAAACGCTTGCCTCAAAGCATCAAATCTGTGGCGATATGTAAAAAAACTTCAACTGTCTGTAAATATGAGAGTTGCATTGTTGAACGATCTATCTGCTGATGATTTCTCGAAGCAATTGCTGACTATCGGTAATGGCCGTGTTCCTGTTGACAAATCGAGCGGTTTGATTTCATTTCCTCCAAATTTTTGAAATTTCGTATCATCAAAAGACGAGCTTATCAACAACGTATTCCCGGATATCATTTCTAACCACAAAAATACTAAATGGTTAAGTGAGCGAGCAATTTTGGCCGCTAAAAATAAAGATGTAGATGACCTCATTCATATAATTCAAAATCAAATCGTAGGTACTCTATATTCATTCAAATCTATCGACTGTGTAACAAACAAAGAAGAAGCCACTAATTATCCAACTGAATTTTTAAACTCCTTGGATGTGCCTGGTTTACCACCGCACAATTTAAAACTTAAAGTTGGCTCGGTAGTCATCATGCTTAGAAATTTAAACCAACCAAAACTGTGTAATGGAACGGGTTTGGTGATAAGAAAACTGATGAGCAATGTGATTCACGCGTCGATACTTAAAGGAAAATTTAAAGATGAGGAAGTTCTTATTCCAAGGATTCCGATGATCCCAACGGATATGCCCTTTGAGTTTCAACGAATTCAATTCCCGATTCGTCTTGCCTTCGCCATGACGATCAACAAATCACAGGGCCTTGACTATTTGTAGCCTCAATCTAGAAAATGAATGTTTTCCTCATGGTCAATTGTACGAGGCATGCTCACGTGTCGGCAAACCATCCGCTTTATTTGCTCTTGCGCCTGACCAAAAAACAAAGAATGTCGTTTCCCACAAAGTGCTTGAATGAAACTCCTATTACCATCGCATTGGATCATTGCAACCTATAGAAGATGCACAGCATAAATTCTTGCAATACGGGCAATATGGAAGAACAACTTGACAGGCGTCAAGGGATCAACACAGCTACGAAGAGAGCAATTCTCCAAGATCTACAGCAAATGCTTCATGAACATCATGCATTGGTTGTTCAAGACTGCTTTAGAGCGCATGCCAAATGATTGCAATTCGGTCAAGTCAATTAAATACATTTGCAAATATGTCAGGAAAGGGAGCGACATGGCGGTTTTTGGTATCCAAACATCCAATACCAACGATGAAATCACCCGCTATCAAGTTGGTACTTTTTTGTTTCTATCTATATAAACATATTATTTTGTATCATTGTTTTACGTTCATCAAAGCCTAACTTAGTTGTTAGGCGGTGCGAAGTTCGCCGGGTCAGCTAGTAAACATATAAATATGTACAAACATACATACATACGGCTGGTAGCAGTTGTGTCTAGGGGTCCGGAAACAGTCGGAAGCGCCTGTCACGCACCCACGCCCCCTAGCTGAGGGCACCCCATATGATGCGGGTGATGCAAACGGACGGATGGATGGCTTCCATCTGAACCTCAACCTTGTCCAACAGAAACTTTTTCAGAAAAAAAGCATCAGCACCAAAACCAAACTGTTTAAAAACAAAGTAAGTCAAGTTAGATGAATTAGGGATACTCATTCGGCTCATTCTTTCTCGCTCGCACACTCTGCCTTATGCACTGTGCGTCACTGGGGCTAAATCATAATAGAGATCCAATCTAATCTTAATTCAGTGATCTGATAGATACGGTCATTCCCTACGTTCATATAATATATCCTTTCACTTGAATATTTTAATGCCAGCGAAGGCCTTGGAAAGCAATACTCTGGGATCACCTTGAGGAACCTTCTGCTCCTCCATTGGCTCATCGCCACCCGTACTGCTCGAGATCAGGCTCTTTTGAAGGTTTTTTTTGTTCTCCGATGAATCAAAAGGTTTATGAGGAAAGTTTAAGTGCCAAGAGTTCCGAGTTCGTATCTGTCGACTAACAAAAGTCTAGCAACATAATTCAATATTAAAAGAAAATTGTGTATTGCACAAAAAAAAATCTGCACTCTTTTCTTGCTTTACAGTACTGTACAACATTTTTATGGTCTCATTAAAAGTGAGTGACAGTGAAAGTTTTACTCTCTATAAGTGAGTTCCTTGTTTTGTTTCGTTTTAACGCATAGTACACCAAAGAAAATTATGAGCTCATATCGTGAGCTCTGTCAGAATATGTAGAATATGTGTCTGTAGTGGTTTGCAAAACGTTAACATGGCTTGCGAAGTAAATGACGCAGGTGCAATGAATTCCCAACAAAATTTAAGTTTTTGTTAAAGTATATTTATAAATTGCTTGTTGATGTTAGTTCTTTGCTTAATTTGTTATACAACTCTGTATGTTTATATGTTTTTTATATTCTCGCTTGAGCAGGAACAAACAGTAAAAGACACAGAATCAACTATGATAGATATTCAATTAAATAGCAAAACCGAAGAAGATGCAATTGTTTCTGATTATTCACAACCCATTCAGAGCAATAGCATAATTAGTATACATAATAGATAATAGAATTCAAAATTAAAAAATGTAAACGTTTCATACACTGAAGAATTTGATTTTTTGCAATGGTGGGCACAACAAAACACAATTTCAGTTGATGTTCAAGGATTTTTTGGTTGCTCAAACTTGTAAAAGCTGAAAAGTGCTTAAAAATTGCTACCACCGAAGATATGGTTAATAAGATTATATTATTACACTTAAATATTAATGGTTTAGATAAAGGATATTTTTTAAGGAATATTTGTAAAAATAAATTCATAATTTTATTTTTTTATAATTATACCCGGTACTCAAAGAGCATATCATCGGGTATATTGTATTTTTGCTCGAATGTGGATGTATGTAACGCACAGATGGAAACGTTTCCGACCCCATAAAGTATATACACATATCGTTGATCAGCATCAATTGCCTATTCCTATATATGTATACCTACAATTACATATATTTTACTTATTCCCCGAATACTTAAAGGCGACTTGAAATAACTTACGGATTTTTCGGATGGGGTATAACTGAGAATCGGGGAACTATGGGATGGATAAGGGCTTAATGTCGGTGGCTTTGGTGGCTCTCTCGGCTTGGCTTGGCTTTCTCTCTGCTATATTTTTCGACGCTAGTTTTATGGCTGGTCGTAATGTGCACAGGTACACACACACTCAAACACACCGCCGGGAGTCTTAAAGCTCAACAATCGTGCTAATGGACCCTACTCGACCTCGCCCTTCATCCTTCATCCTTGTCGATGTCGTCGTCGACGACTTTTGCTGGTGCGGTAGTCCAAAGCCAAAGCCAAATTTTTTATTTGTTATTATATACTTTGGCGTGTCAAATAAACATCACACATCTAGAGTACATGAAACCTGTTTTATATTGGACTTCACTCCATGGATGTGGAGTCTTCTCCTTCTCCTGCCGCACCGTGCTCATACCGTACGTGTTGTGGTTGCGCATTTTACTTTTATTCTTTCGTCCCTTTTTTTTTAAGGCTAGGAACTGCCATATGCTAGTGAGTGTGACAGAGAGAGAGAGAGAGAGAGAGAGCCCCAGTGTGGGGTCCACACGACTGCGGCTCATTTTCATGAGTTGTCGCAAGCTTTTAGTCGAAAACTTCCTCCGTCTTCCGTTGTACGCCGGGAGACGATGCGGAGAGCAGAGGTTGCTTTCCCAAAAATATCTACATTGGTTCAACCGTAATTAAAATAAAATGAAATCTACGTTAATTGTGATTTTGCGATCAGAAAATGATTATACTTCTGTATTGTTGTTACAACATTTTAATGCATTAATTTAATCATAGTTTTATACATGGAACATTAAGTCAGAGTTGACCCAATTAATGCGATAATAAACCCTTTGAAAAGCCAAATATAACTAATAATATTTCTGAATTTAATTTATTTTAAAAAATTAATCAGAAGTATTAGAAAAGACTAGATTTACAATTAAATGGGATAATACTTAATGAGATAATAGACCCGTTGAAAAGCGGGATGTACTTCCTAAGTGTATAACCAAATAAGACTAATAATATTTCTCAATTAAATTTAATTTTAAATAAACAATCAGAAGTACTAGAAAAGAGTATATTTACAATTAAATGGCTGTCATAATTGCCATTTAACATTTAAGAATTGTTCTTAGTTTGTTGTCTGTTTGTTTGTTTCTCCATTGGCATCACCAACACCAATCAACTTCTGCGGGCAGTGGCTTTGTATGGTAAATTTTTTGGGACTATCTAGGCATTCGTTTTATTGTTGTTCTATAACACAAAACCACAGTGCACCGTTGATGCGTGTGGACTAATGTTAATTTTATGCCAATTCATTTGCTTTCCCTTTCCAAACGTGTGATTAATGCAAAGCAGGAAAGAAATAAACAAATGCCTGACGGGCCAAAGCAAGGTGTCTTTACACTCTGAATTTTTCACGTTCAACAAAAATTACGAAAATGTCTCATTAAAGCACTCTCTCCACCCCCTTAGTCTCGCAACCAAGTATTTTTGAAGCTAATATACCTTCTCTTTTTACCGCTTTCAGCATGCACCTGTACCTAGTACTGATCTCGTGTCTGGTGAGCTCAACGCACTGCTGGCAGTTCGATGGCGGAGGTCAGCGATGGTCGAGGAATACGGCCAGGGTGCAGGCACGAGGACCATCGCCACCGTTGCCGCCAGGAGGCGGAGGCCGAATATCGGCGGCATTGTTGGGCTCACAGCAACAGGACATACTCTATGCCTGTCCTCTCAACTCGATGTGCCAGTGTGCCGGTCTGCCCAACGAGACTCACACGCTGATTGAGATTAATTGCAACGAGGTGGCACTGTACAAGTTTCCAGGTAAGAGACAGGACGAGACTCACCCTGCACACTCAACCTCCCACTGCAGGTCGACTTTTATTTATGTGGCAAATATTTTCATTGCCAGTTGGTCATAAATTGCCTCGGCCACACAGCCCACAATAAGAGGAATTTCGTGCTGGCTGCCAATCTCAATCTCCTCGCTCCGCTCCCTGCTCGTTTGGCCTTCTTTCGCCTCGATGGTGTCCCTTTGTCACTCGTCCTATCATTTCTGTTTTCCTCTGTTATGCCTGCAGCGGGAAAAATGTAATTTTTTAATGAAGCCTCAAATGGCTTTGTCCTGGCCCACAAACAAAATGAAATCTTACATTTAAGTTTTCCAATTAGTTGTAAAAACAAAGTTGTATTTCATTTTATTTCCTTTTTAGCTGCCTGTCTGCTCTGCTCTGCTTGCCCGCCTCCGACAGTTTGACTCTCTGTCAAGTTGTGTATGTTTGTGTGTATGTATCTTTTAGGACACAGTTCTGTAACGATTGCTGTGGGAAATTGCACCCTAATTTTGGTAGTTTTAATACTCACTATTTTTAGAGGATGTGGATATGATTTATATTATATTGGAGCATGCAGCCATGATTGTTATCAAAAAAAAAAAAAAACGTGTCGCCATGATCTCCCTTATATTTCAAAATAACTGACTACTACTGGAATAATTATACAAACAAAAATTACAAAATTGTTATATATATATATTTTTCCACTCCTATCTTTTCATTGAGGCAGAGCTAAGCATTTCCTCTGCGTGTTTGGCACTTCCCATAGCAGGTATAACGTAGTCGCAACACTCTATGCCATCATTATTATATACTCTTATTAAGGTAATGAATAAATGGAAAGTTTCCATAGTTCCATTGTCATTGTCCCCCCATTGCCATTTCCAATTCCATTCACAGAAATGTTGCTCATTGCTGCGGCTTGCTTGGCATCGCTTTGGTCTCTTTCTCTCGCTCTGACTCTGTGGCGCTTTTTGTGTCTCTCGTGTTGAAATTACTATCATTCTTTCTTCTGATGTTTATTTTATTCTGCAATTTTCGTAACAACTGTGACACACAGACAGGGTCCACAAAGTCGTCAGCTTCAGCTTTTTTTGTAATGTAAAAGCAAAATGTTGAAAAAAAGAGCAACAAAATAATAAAAAAAAAAAAATTGTTAACGGTCAGAACACACAAAAATTGCCCAGAAATTGGCATCACTGGCAAGAAGAATTTCGAACGAACGAACGAATACCATTAAAAAGTTTGTCTCTTGTTTGGATGAAGAGAGGTGAGGGGATGAATGGAGTCGAAACTCCCCTTTCGCAATTTATCCTTCGTTTCTTATGCAAAATTTCTGCATTTACATTTTGCTTTAATATAAAAATTTTAGATATTATGCATAATCAAATTAATATTAATTATATGCCACAATATCTACAAAATCCAGCTACATATGTATGAAGTATGTATGAATTCTTTGATACAGGATCAGCTGATATAGCACCAACCAAATTTTAAATTGTCACAAACATTTTTTTTAACAATAGAATAGAAACAACGAGAAGGGACGTATGAGACGCTTCCTATGCGTCACAACTTGTATACCCGGTACTCAGTGGAACATCTGTAGCTTAGCGGCTTTTTGTTTTCAAATTTAAAATATTTTCTTCATGTGTCATCTACATCTACATACATCACTTCCCACGGAAACACGCATTTTAGCTCGCCCCCCCTCCACTAGAGCCACACACCACACGAAGCATAGTGAGGATGAGAGAATGCGCAAAAACCAAAAAAGACGATATGGGACGTGTGAGACGCTTCTTACGCGTCACATCTTTTATACCCGGCACTTAGTACTACATCAACACCTTAGTGGTGTTTTGTCAAATTTTTAATTTTTTCTTCGTCTGTTATCTACATCTACAACACTTCTCACACCAACACCCTCCTTTACCTCGACCCCCCTAGACCTACACACTGCAGACTCGCGCCAGAGGCAGTGGCCGCACACAGCAGAAGAAGAGTGTGAATGAAAAAAAAAAACAAATATTAGCTGCGGGACGGGGTGGGTTTAGCCACTGGAAATTTATTTCTTCATTGTGGCTATAATAATGATCCAATCGGATAGGATCAGTTCGGTGATCTGATAGATATGATCATTCCCTACGGAGTGGCTTTTTTAGTTTTTCTTTATATTTAAAATTGTAGATTTGGGAGGTTTTCGCCCTTTTGCGGGGGCTAAAGGGGGCGGCACTCATTTTCCCTTCTGTGCCGTACAAACATCTGTCGTTCCCGACAAATACAATATACCCTATTCACTCTTCGAGTACCGGGTTTAATTATGTATATTGAATATCAGCAGTCATTTTTCCATGGCACCCCTCAAGAAATCGAGTTCTGCACCATCTTTTTGTTCATGCAACTTAGAATTCCACTTTAATTTAATTTAAACAAATGTCTCAATTTGAATGCCAGTAAAATATGTAGATATATCAACCTACATATATGCATACATACATATGTATGTATATTCCTTCTTGACGTTGCATTCAAGCTGCATTCAAGCGGCAGAAGAAATGTTGCAGTTGGAAAACTTTTGGCAATTAGCAATTCTAATGCAAACGGAGTGAGTCAGACTCAGAGTAACACAGAGAGAGAGTGAGAGAGCGAGAAAGTGAGGGCTCCCAGCTCTTCCTACCCAGAAAACACTTTGGTTCAGCCTGGCTAATTGCGTGTCCAGGCCCCTGCCATCCGCCTCCGATTCCGCCTCTGTTCCTGCCTCTGCCTTCACCATCTTCTTCATCTTGAGCTTATCGAAGCGACTTCCTAGCTGGATGGCTGGTTGCTATGTCACCATGTGGTCCAGCAACCGAAAAAATAAAACACAAATATGCACCCAGAAGCAGAAATACTCGTAGAGACGCTCCGTGGTGGACAACATCCAACATGAGAGCGCTAGCGCCCCTCAATGACAAGTTGAATGAGAAGGGACGTGTGAGACCCTTCATACGAGTCACAACTTTTATAACCGGTACTCAGTAGTAGTAGTTTAACATTTTACATTGGTTTTACATATTTCATCAACATCTACATCACTTCTCATGCCAACACTCTCTTTTAGCTCGCCCCCCTCCCTTAGAGCCGCACACTTCTCCAATCAGAGTATGGAATGAGAGAATGTGCAAAAAATAAGCAAAGCTGCTGGAAGGGGTGGGCTTGGCCACTGCATATTAATTTCTTTATTTTGGCTATAATAATGATTCAATCTGATCCCAATTTGGTGATACGGTGCTTCCCTATGTAATGGTGTTTCTAGTTTTCTTGTATCTTCAAAATGCGTGGCGAAATTTTGAAATATACTTGTAACAGTGTGAGCACACAGACAACAGAATGCAATTTTTGGTGGCTCTGTCTTTTATAGTCTCTGAGATCCAGGTGCTCAACAAGACGATGCTGATCAAGAATATATGTATTTAGGTACTTAGTCGGGTCGGAAAGGTTTCCTTCTCTGCGTTACATACATTCCCTTTTCCACACAAATACAATATACCCTATCTACTCTTCGAGTATCGGGTATAAAAATCCATTATAAATTCACCAAAAAATATCTCTCTGTGCATCTGCCTTTGTCCCATCTAACACACAGCAAATATGCAGTGTATGCAGATTGGTCCCTTTAGGCATGAGTATGTTCGTAATTTAATGTTGTGTTTCTTTTATCTGTTACTAATGTAAAAGAATGAGGGCAAATAAAAAAAAATTATTGTGTTGCAATTTAGATTTATTTTTAATATATCACTTTAGGGCTATGCCTCCCTCTAACTATGGGCCTACATCACTTGTGAATTTACACGCTTGGCCAGAAGCCTGGTTGGGCTTCCTGCTATTGCCTCTACGTTCTTCGGTTTCACCGCAATTTTCCCTGCCGAGTCTATTTTTCGTAGCAGCCGAAAAACGAAAGTGAACGTCAACAGTTTTCCACATGCCGCACGTTTCCTGTGTCCTATGTCATCGTCTTTTTTCTTGTTGCTGCTCCTTTTGCTACTGGCTGCAGGACATCAACTTTATGGATATAAATGGAAGCTTCCTATTCCCAGGCTCTCCATTGGAGAGGGGATACCCTGACTTTTGCTGCTTTCCTGAATGACTGGCCAAAAAAATGACTTTCAGCTGACGTTATCTTTATCATCACACACACAGAGACAGAGAAAGAGGATGGAATAGTAAAGGGGGAGATTTTTTTGTTTTACTGTTATTCAAAGGGTTGTCTTAATTGGGGTATAGAATAGAAATTAGTCTTATAGCAGACTCAAAATTCCAGTAGTTTTGAGTGACTCGTTAGAGTGCACTCGTTAGAATAAATTAAACATCATTAAGGGAATTAAAACAAATAAACCAAAAACAAGAAGTTATCTTGTGGTAATCTGTCAAACCTTCATTTAATATTCATCATTCAGCATTTTCAACTTGAAATCAAATTTGAAATAAATTGAATTGCTGGTCAACCTGATTGATTTGGCCACTGTTATGGGTATCTTAATTTTTTTGAACACTTCGACTGGAAGCCTTTGTGAGAGTGGACTTCAAGTGCTTGAAACAGAGTGAAATCAGGGCATTGGGAATGGAAGCTCGAAATATAACCATAGCCAATATATATAACAGATTATCGTGTAATAAATTAATGGATTTTGATTAACTAATCAAAAACAAGACGATACAAGTAATTCTCTCACTGATCGCAAATAAACAGAACTTTCAGCAGATATACATTTACATATTTTAAAGCAATACAATATTTTAATTATCGGAACTTCAAGCACTTGTTTAATAGGTTTAATATGGTTAATCATATACTAATCAACAAATAAATTCATATCCATAAAAACAAATGATTTTTCCTGAAGTTGTGCATTCAAGTCATACTTCCAATTTAAATCGCTTTGAGCCGTGAATGTCTTATTAATCTTAACCTCTAGGAGCCAATTGAATGTTCAATATTTTTTG